GCCTGGGCCTGGGCCTGGGTCGAGTCTAACACAGCCTGGGCCTGAGCCTGAGCCTAACACAGTCTGGGCCTGAGCCTGAGCCTAACACAGCCTGGGCCTGGGTCTGAGTCTAACACGGCCTGGGCCTGGGCCTGGGCCAAGTCTAACACAGCCTGGGCCTGGGCCTGAGTCTAATACAGCCCGAGCCTAACACAGCCTGGGCCTGGGCCTGGATCTGGGTCTGGGCTCCTGCTTAGCACGGCCTGGGCCTGAGCCCAAGCTTAGCACAGCCTGGGCCTGGGCCCGAGTATAACACAGCCTGGGCCTAAACCTATCATGGCCTGGGCCTGAGCCTGAGCTCAGCATGGCCTGGGCCTGAGCTCCTGCTTAGCACAGCTTGGTCCGAGTGTCCCCCATCCGTGTCCCCTGCCCCCCTGGTCCAGGTGTCCCCCCTTTCCCAGTTGATTCCATGTTAGAACTAAAATGAAACTGAGCTGCAATATAGTAATAAAATTTATTGAAGATTCAGTAAAGCACAATAATTTGTCTTTCCAGATTCAGAACTCCAAGCCACATGCTTACCAGAATTTTCTCCCCTGACTCTTGTCCCAAAAAAAGATCCTCCCCCCCCCTCCCCGTGTGCCAGAGGCCACTCCACCCCCTGAGCCGGATTATCGGATTCATTGACAGTCCTGAACAGAAGGGGAAGGGACTGGATTTGCTTCTTCTGGCCTTGCTTGTTTCTCCAAGTTAGGGAGAGCTGGGAATGTTCACCTGGAGAAGGGAAGGATCCAGGGAGACCTTGGAGCCACTTCCAGGGCCTAAAGGGGCTCCAGGAGAGATGGAGAGGGATTTGGGATGAGGGATGGAGGGACAGGACACAGGGAATGGCTGCCCAGGGTTAGGGGGGATATTGGGATGGAATTCCTGGCTGGGAGGGTGGGGAGGGGCTGGGCTGGAATTCCCAGAGAAGCTGTGGCTGCCCCTGGATCCCTGGAAGTGTCCCAGGCCAGGTTGGAGCACCCTGGGATAGTGGGAGGTGTCCCTGCCCATGGCAGGGGTTGGAATTCCATGATTTTTCCACTCCCAACCCAAACCAGCCCATCATTCCATGATCCCCTGTCCCTATCCATGTGTCTCCACTCCCACTCTCCATCCCAGGCTATCCCAGCTGTTCCCTCTCCCATTCCCAGCCTTCTCCAGCCATCCCAATCCCTGATTTCATCCCCCATCCCATTCCCAGGCCCGAGGGGCAGGCTTTCCTGCTGATCCATAGGGATCATCTCCCACCAGGAATCTTCCATTCCACCCCACCAGCCTTGGGATTCCTCCTTTCTCCCACTTTCCCTGCAATAATTTGGGATAATTTGGCAGCGAAACCAATCCCGGAGCTGCAAAGTCGTGGCGGTGAAAATCAAAAAAATTCCTTAAGGAGTTTGTTTTCCAAGCCATTTCCTTGGGAATAAAACCCAAATCCAGACTAAAAATGGCTTTGAAACAATTTGGGGAGGAAAAAAAAAATCCATGGTTTTCCCTGCTGGGAAAAGGAGATTTAGGGAATTATTTCTGGGCTTTCGTGGCATTTCCAAGTGGAAAATGGAGGAATAAATCCCTTTGGGAGGGGGTGGAAAAGTTGGGAAAGCAGGAAGAAATTGGGGAATTTCGGCCTTATTTTCCTCCCCTGATGATTTAAAACTGCCAAAAAAACACCCAAATCCTCGATTTTTTCCCAATTTGGGATGTTTGGGAACAGGTTGGGAATGAGGAGAGCAGAGCTCAGCTCCAGCTGATCCCAAATCCCAGCCGGGATTTCAGGAATGGCCAAGAGGATCCTCCTCCACTTCCAGCTGCTCCTTCCCTCCCTTTCCCTGGCACAAAGTCCAGGGCTTGGCAGGAACGAGCTGGGAATGAGCTGGGAATGAGCTGGGAACGAGCTGGGAATGAGCTGGGAACGAGCTGCTCTGAATTCCACTTCATTCAGCACTAACCCAGGGAAGCCTTGGATCCACCACTCCCACAAAATCCAGCCCTGGGAAAAGCTGCTTTCCCAATTTACACCCAAAGAGGGAATTGGGAAAAGCTGCTTTCCCAATTTACACCAAAATATGGAATTAGGAAAATCTGCTTTCCCAATTTACTCTAAAATATGGAACCAGGAAAAGCTGTTTTCCCAATTTACACCCAAATATATAAACAGGAAAAAGTGTTTTCCCAATTTACCCCAAAACCTGGAACCAGGAAGAAGTGTTTTCCCAATTTACACCACAATACAGAACGAGGAAAATCTCCTTTCCCAATTTACACCAAAATATGGAATTAGGAAAAGCTGCTTTCCCAATTTACAGTGAAAT